GCAAATTTCTGCTCCGTAGTAACTTCATATAGTTACATCAAAGCACTCGCGCATGGTGTTTTTCTTCCACGTTTCTTTAGTAAATTAGAGTTTTTCTGCAATGTTTATTTAGACGAATTGTGTTGTCTGTAATTTCAAAGTAGAATTTTCCAAATTATAACCTTTTATAAAATATCTCTGCTGTAAATGAGGGATAAAAATCATTCATATCAAATTAGACAAATATGCACTCATTTTTATTACTAATTTTAGAAAACCAATTTGTGACATCAGTGATATTTTTTTACTGTTGCAAATTTAATTTTTTTCAAATAATATTATTTATTTTGTCTAATCTAATTTTATTAACATCCCTTATTTCACTTTTTGAAGGTACTAGTAGCCTACCAAAAAAAAACACTAGATAAATTTTTTACCTAATTTATTATTGCTCTGTTCTTTAATAACATTGAGCACTCTATTTAATAACATTGAGCACTCTATTATATATATATATATATATATATATATATATATATATATATATATATATATATATATATATATATATATATATATATATATATATATATATATATATATATATATATATATATATATATATATATATATATATATATATATATATATATATATATATATATATATATATATACATATATATATATATATATATATATATATATATATATATATATATATATACTATATATATATATATATATATATATATATATATATATATATATATATATATATATATATATATATATATATATATATATATATATATATATATATATATATATATATATATATATATATATATATATATATATATATATTATATATGAAGAGCTCATTTTCAAAACGCGGCAAATCCAAATTTTTGGTTTTGTGAAAATTGATCTTTTTTCCTACGTAATGAAATTTAATATTTTGAGATAACTAACTATTAATTTAGTTAAATATGTGTATTATTAATAAGACTACGATGACTACTGTAACATGAGTAAGCATGATAAAATCAATATTTATTATAATCAAGCGTTTACCAGTTTTACCCATAAACCATGTCGGCTAACTATGTTTATGTATTCACTACGCGCAAAAACTTTTTTTTTTACAACCAGGAGCACCTTTTTTTTCATAAGACTTGTTCTGAATGTAAAAGTCTGATTGTGGTTTTTAATAGCTTCTTTTATTTCAGAAAAAATATCTTTCTTACTGTCTCCTCCTCTATTTTCAGGTCTGGTTATTTTATGCTCATATTAGTGTCTTGCAATTCTTATAACTCTATTATTTAAGGCTAGATAATATAAAGAAATAAAATATTGACTTTTGTCAATAAAACATTTTTACAACAAATATAGATGCGTAATTTGATCAATTATTCTGAATTAAAAGTAAAGTAATTGTAAACTTTCACAATACTGACCAAAACGAAGCTTGGCAAACTCATAGTTTGTATCCTTCAATGTATAAAAATTACTCAATGCTCATATTATTTTTCACTTTGGCTATTTTAATACTGACTATATTAGGCATTGATAGTAAAGAAGCATCCTGTGACACTTTATTGGTATTACAATAAAATTCTGAATGGCATTTAAACAGTTTGTTGGTTGTAATATGTTGACCCTGAAATTAATTTTTCATAACTTTAAAAGTTATTATAATAAAATCTTTTAACAGTAAGCTCAAAAGAATTAAATAAAATCACCTTGAAAAAGCCTGCAATGCGATTACACGATATAGAAGGAATTTTTCCTATACTTGAATGTTGAAATAGCTTTCTCATTTCTTTTTCTTAGCATTGCTTTTTTTTCCTCGCGACTTTAACGTTAAAAAAAGACTTTTATCATGACAATCATAGTCTGTCGTTTTAAAGTTTTACTTTGGGTTGCTTATTGCGATTGCGCAAAATTATTTTTTCTACACACTCCGATATATAATAAATTTTTTTTTTAAATCATACTGTGTTTTGAAAAATAAAATTAATTTTCAGCTAAAAATAAATAAAATATTGAAGTCTTTGAAAATAGTTGCTAATGGGCAGTTAATGCAATTTTTTCGAAAATGTCCCTTACCGTGATTTGAAAATAAGTTCTTTATATATATATATATATATATATATATATATATATATATATATATATATATATATATATATATATATATATATATATATATATATATATATATATATATATATATATATATATATATATATATATATATATATATATATATATGTATCTTTATCTCGTAGTCGAAAAAGCCTTTTAGTGTAAAAAAACTCTCTTTCCACTAAAATTTTGCTACTGCGACAATTAAGCTACAATTTATCAAAGCAATTAAATTAATGCGGAAGTACATTAAGTTTTATCGTTTTTTAAAAAACCGCAATAATAATGACTAGAAGTTTTTATTTAACTAAGGGTGCTTTTATATTTGTTTTATTAAAAAATATATATATTTTTGTTTGTTTTTGTTCGATTAAAATATATTTTCAAAACACGCGCAGAATGTTGCTGTCGACTGACATATAGCATGACTCGCAACAAAGTGCTGCTACATCGACTGAGGTTTGGTTTGTGCAGGCAGTCTATCATTTAAGAAAAATAAACTTATTTAAGTTTTTAAACTTTTTCTGGTCTGGTCTAATAACGCTCTCTTTAAAACTTCAGTTTAAGGAAAAAACTTTCTGACTATATATGGCGGACTTTAAAACGGCGCACTTTAAACACGGTAAATAACGAAAGCTTTCGGAACAAATATTCTCGGTAAATATACTGAGTACTTTACAGAATTATGAAACCGTGCCGATACGTTAAGTGAAATGGCTACCTCGAAGGAAATTGAAAACTTTCTAAAACCATTTTTAAAATTTAAAACTTTTTTCAAATATTTCAAACCAAATATTAACAACTACATCTATAAAATTATAACATTTACACCTATACTACTGATAATAGAATTAAAATAAATAAAAGTTTTATTATTTTAAGTAAGTTTTTTTTAAAGCTTTATTATTTCAAGTAAGATTTTACTTTATCACGTAGGCCTACTTGAGAAATGTTTTGTGACAAATTAAAAACTTAAAAAAACCACTAAAAAAGTTATGTATAGGTGTTAACAGTTTTATATCTTAAACAAACAATTACAATATATTATTGCTTTTTAAAATTTTCTGATATTCTTCTTTTTACTTTTCTTTCATTACATTGGTAACTTTTTTTATCCAAAATCTTTAATAGATTCTAATGTTAAATTCTTATAATAAATGTTTTATTAAGTTTCTATCTTCAAATTGTCTTTTTTTCCTAATCTCGTTGTTTTTAGCTTTTTCTCCATGTATACTTTTCTCATCATCAGTATGTTTATCTTCTCGTCATCAGTATTACACGGTATGTGATTATTGGAGAAAATTTGAATATTTACTTCATAAAATAAAATAATACATTAACATAGAATTAAAATATTTCTATTTGGGTAATTTAAAGATGATACTTATCATGAATATGACTCAGGAACATATTGAAATATTGCCATAAATCTTTATTTTTAAACTCATAATATTCCCTATATACCACCTCATCCAACCTAGACCATTTTATATCACCCCGAGAACCAAAAACACACTTCAATTTACGTTTCATACTAAACCAATAGGACTAAATGTTGATTGTTGTTGTCCCTGTTTCGGGGTCAACAAAGTTTGTGGTATGGGTATCAGTTGAATGAATATAGCCTAAGTTGCTTAAATTATTTTAAGAAGCCCATTCATTTAATTGTATTGTTAAACCAGGAGCAATCCAAGTTTGAATTAAAGGTACTAATGTATTCGCAGTTCGTTCCTGTACCCATATCAAATATCCTGTCAAATATCGTTTTTTAGTTGTTGTCTCATAAGCCTCAAAAATCTAAATGCTTTTCATTATTGTGATTCACATTATACTAACGTTTAAAAAATAAATACTCATCAATTTCAAATATGTGTCCTGGACCTCCCAGTTGGTTTAAAACTGCAAAACTAAAACTTAAAATTAGCAGATGTCTCAAAAATACTGAAACCACTGAACTGAAGTTGGTTGGACCTACTAACTCAGCTGCAGCAGTAACAGGGATCTTTGAAACCCGTAACAACATGAGTTAATGTGTATCGCTTACGCTTAAGATGTTTTAACATTTAAAAAAATTACTTTATATAGTCTTTATCTTCTTGCCACTGCTGCATCGCCAAATGTGTTTATTCTTAAAAAAAAAGCATCAGAAAAAGCTTAAGCAAAATCCAGCTTAAACAGGATTAGATTTTGTGAAGTAATTTAATCCTAATTAAAAAAATAATAAGTTAATTAAAACATTAACTTGCTTACATTTTAAATACTAATCTGATTAGACTTGGTTTGCATAAAATATGAAATAAGTGATTATGATACAATTAAATAAGATATTAATGATATAATACCATGAAACATGATATATATATATATATATATATATATATATATATATATATATATATATATATATATATATATATATATATATATATATATATATATATAGATATATATATATATATATATATATATATATATATATATATATATATATATATATATATATATATATATATATATATATATATATATATATATATATATATATATATATATATATATATATATATATATATACTAGAGTGTTTCAAAAAAATGACTTTTTAAAATTTCAACTAACATTGCTTTTCATATGGTGCCCCACCATTGATATTATTAAAAAATAAAAATTTCATCACATTTGGACCACTCTATCAGTCCGCGCAATGGGTCCAAAGTTCATTTTTAGGCCGTTTTTGACCCTTTGTTTAGTCAAGTTGCGGGGACCCTTCCCATGGATCAATTTTGAAAAATTTAATTTTTTTAGACAATTTTATGCATAAAATTTAAATTAAAATCCAATGTTAAGCTTTATTTGTTTAAATAATGGGTCAATTAAACAACTACATTTTTCAAAAAAGTTGATTTTTTGCCTTTTTTTGCTCTTTGATAAGGTCTTTTTTAGCGCCTTCGGTGTTTACAGTCGGACTTGTTTCTCAATATTTGACGTTTAGCAGCATTTTTTATCTTTCAATAATGCCAGAACATAAAAAAATAAAGTACCAGAACATAAAAAATAAAGCGCAAATGTTTAGAGAGAAACATTTTCAAAATCAGTTTCTTCTTTCTCTTTCTTCCACTCTTAAACTTATTAGGTACAAGGAAAGTGTTCTGTCTCATCTTCTCCTTGTGGGATTTGTTGATCAGCTCTTAGTTAAAAATAAGTTATGCCTGTTGAAATTACCTTTATGATTTCTACAATAGGTTTAAATTTGATAATTTTTAAAATTGTACCTGAACGAGTTTCACAGCTCTGTCACTGCAATTATTAACTACTTCCAAATTTTTGACAAAATGTTCAAACTCCAGATAATAATCATTCAGGTTCCATGTCTCAACAGGAGTCTTTAACCACTGTAACTCTGCCTTCCCATGGTTCAAGAGATGAAATATGAACCGACTAATAAACGAACCTGTTCATTTATTAGTGAAACCAAGCTAGGAGGATTATCCTGACAAAAATCCAGATTGTTTAGCAATTCAAAATCCACCTGCTGCCTTTGAACAACATAATTCTCAGGCCTTGGTATGGAATACAGCTTCTTAGCAATCTCGCCACGGTCATGGACCTCCTCATCAGCTAAAGCCATTACAACAGCGGTAGGATCAATGTACCAGGTGTGTCTCTTCAGTGAGTCAATAACAGGTTTTGCTTGCTCAGGTTTGACATCAGAGTATCTTATCATTTGCCACAGAGCTTTCATATCCTAAAAAATAATCTTTAGATAGCAAAATACTAAAAAGAATAATTTTTATTTAAACTTTGTTACGTTTTGTATAATAAGGAAATAAAAATTACAGTAAAAAAACCTGAGAGGGAGCAACTGCTGGAATTTCCGCCCTGAGAAACCATTCAGTGTAAAACACTGCCGTGAAGAAGACCATATCTTTGATTTTTTTCTTCTCATGGGCCTTGAGATTGGGAATGTTATTCAATAGAAGGAACATCTTCATAAAATATATTCCTTTCATCTAAAACCGGGCATGACTTACAGGTCCAGGTTTCTTTTCAGAGTCTGTACTGCACATCTCCAGATAGCACCATTACTGTGAGTTCGGCTAACTCAAGATAATCACACCTGCATCCATTCTAAATATAAATACTTATTTTTATAACAAGCAATTAATCAAATTGAATTTTCAAATTTAAAGAAGCCATAAAAAATTAAGATTCATTCTTTACATTTTTAGTTTGATATCTGATACTAATAATTTGTTTATTTTGCAAAACGCCAGGAGCTATTCACATTAAATAAGTTATTATTATTTTAAACTGTGATTTACCAGTTAATGGATTTTTATTTACTTGACAGCTGTTTAAACTACTTTAAATGACATTAAAATTAATTTATAATTTAAAGTACTGACCTTCTTCATCTTTTCCATCTTCAGAGAACTCAAAAGCTTTCTTGAATTGATCCTGCAACCAGTTGTCAGTAATATCCTCAATCTTCATTCTGTTTAGTACAGTAGAATTATGATCCAAAGAGTTCCAAACAAGCTTAAGCCTTTTAAAAAAAGGATTGTCTGGTCCATTGTGTTACTGCTGGGATAGATGTTCCAACAGTGAATAATGTGTCTTTCATACACATGATGTCTGCATGCTAATAGAAGTAGAAGCCTTTCAACCTCTGTAGCTAGTTTAATGCATACTCCTTTCTGTTTACCAGTGTTAAAATTAGTTGTATCAAAAACACATCCGTGAAACTTGCCAGTAATCTCAAATTGGTTAAGAAGTTCCAAGATCGCTGTTTTCTGCTCCTTTCCTGTACTTGAAGTTGAATGTGGAATACCAAGTAGCTCTGTCTGTCCATTTATTCTAATTAATACTGCAAGTCTGTGATGTTGCAATTCTTTCCCATCTGTGATTTCTTTAACAATCTTGCTATCAACGTGTAGAGTTATTGGGGATACTGATGACTGCTCAAGAGTAAAAATTTGTTTTCTAATCTTCTCTCCTTTTTTGGTCAAAACTTTTTCTACAGCTCTAAATGATGTTGTACTTGACACAACAAAGTTTGACACAGAACCTCCAGAGTTTGCAATGATACTGGACACAATTGCAGTGTGCTGTTTAGCAGACAGTCCCTCTCCTATAGCAGTAAGTGCTGCTTTCTGTAGAATATCTTTTGAAAGGATAATCGATGAGCCAGACTCTTCTTTATTAATACCTGCTTCAAAGTCTGAGTCAGAGTTACTATCATGACTACAGAGCAGAGCTGTGTGAAATGTTAAGATCATTTGCAGTGTCTCCTGCACTTTTCGTGGTAGTCAAATGCTTTTTGTGATCTTTCAACAGCATATGAAAAACTTTTATCTTTTGTTCCAATTATTCTTTTCCACTCTTCCAGCTGATCGAAGATAAAAGCAATTTCTTCCTCTTTTGCTCCATAAGTCCTCTTCTTATCTTTCCTGATCTTATCAATCAGTTCTTCAGGATTTGTACTTATCCAAAAACATTTGATAAGATCCTGAAGAAAATTTTTTCTCGACTTAGTATTTGATGGACCATTTCTGTGACGACTCTTCTTTAACATGTTTTAATAATCCACTGTGTTCTGAATCTTCACCCTATACATTGCAAATAAAAAAATTAAGTGAATTTCAATTTTAAGAAAATACCCACCTTAAACAATTAGTTTTAAATAAATACTATATATACAATGTAAAGAACGTAATAAAATGAACTAAATGTTTCTTCTGTGTAAATATAAATCGTAAATTGAACTAAAAGTTAAAAAATACAGTATTTTTTAAAACATAAAAAAAAAATTTGAAAGGTTTGCCTTATATTGTTCATTGTTATTAGAGGAAATCTAGCTAGATTCCATGGGCCAACCAATTTAGACATTACACAGCAATGGGTGTTCTCTACAGAGCATTGGAGCTCAAAAGAATTCATCATGATTTGGCACCTGATTAAATCTATTTGCATGGCGCTTGGATTTAGCTTTCTAAGATGTAGGTAGTACTGCAAAACATCTTTGCCACTTGGAAGCTTATATATATATATATATATATATATATATATATATATATATATATATATATATATATATATATATATATATATATATATATATATATATATATATATATATATATATATATATGTATATTTATATATATATATACATATATATAGACATAAAGTAAATATAGACATTTACTGAAAATACTGTTATAATAACATTGCTAAACATCAAGTATTAAAGAAAGACAATCTTATACGGTCACATTAAAGAGGGACAACCTTAACAACGACTTTGTTGAGACTATTCTGTAGCTGCTTTAAACGTTTAAGTCCGACTGTAAACACCGAAGGCACTGAAAAAGACCTTATAAAAGTGCAATAAAAGGCAAAAAATCAACATTTTCGAAAAATCTAGTTGTTTAATTGACCCATTATTCAAATAATTAAACCTTAATATTGGATTTTAATTTAATTCTTATGCATATAATTGCCAAAAAAATTTAATTTTTCAAAATTGGTCCATGGGAAGGGTCCCCGCAACTTGACTGAAAAAAAGGTCAAAAACGGCCTAAAAATTAACTTTGGACTCATTGCACGGACTGATAGAGTGGTCCAAATGTAATGAATTTTTTTTTTTTAGTAATATTAATGGCGGGGTTCCATATGAAAAGCGATGTTAGTTGAAGTTTTAAAAAGTCATTTTTTAAAACACCCTAATGTATACATATATATATATATATATATATATATATATATATATATATATATATATATATATATATATATATATATATATATATATATATATATATATATATATATATGTATAATTAGGGTAAAAAGGCAACATTTTCATTCATTATTCTTCGATTTCCCTTATCGTTTTCTAAAAACGCTCACTTAATTTAGGCTAGCAAAAAAAGTGCGCATATAAATATGCTATAGTATATATATATATATATATATATATATATATATATATATATATATATATATATATATATATATATATATGTATATACATCATTGTGGACCAGAGATGAGTTTAGATTAAATGGAGTGTCACTAAAGTGAAACCTTTTTTATTTAAGATTATTTGTTTTATAACAGTAAAAAAAAGATTTTTTAAAATCCGAATAAACTGCTAAGGGCCATAAATGGGGCAAAAAGGTAAACACAAGGGAGGTATAAGCCCATTTATGTGTGCTTATACCTCCCTTGTGTTGGAAATTCAAAAAAAAAAAAAAAAATTTAATCAAGAGTATTTGTTTCATAAAAATATAAAATTACGTTTTTAAAGATAAAAAAATATGCTAAGGGTCACAAATGGGGCAAAGGGTAAAATTGAAGAGGGACATAAGCCCATTTTACCATTTTAGGTGCCCGTTAATTTTTTTTTTTTTAAATAAATGTCAAATAAGTTAAACAAAATATTAAGGAAACAAAAAAATTTAAAATTTTATAATATTACAGTAAATATTTTACATAATCCAACAAAAAGTAAATAACTGTTCTTCCGGGTTTTGAGCAGTATGGTAAAGTTAATGATAAATTAAACTCTTCTTCCATTAAGGCTTATTCAAAGTGGATTCACGCATTGATTATGCTTATTTAAAAGTGTAACTTTAGTCTGTGTAGGTTTAAGTCCGGAAAAAAAGCAGTCCATACTGTTCGGAAAACTGACAAGAAATTGTTCAGCAAACTTGGATGATAGAAACCTTGGTACAATAGTAAAGATTTTTTTAATAAAACAAATAATAACTTGTTCTTATTCAAAAGAGTTAGAACAAAACAAGAGTTTTTCACTATTTTAATGTATTTTTATACACTAAAATATAGGTCTATGCTGAGGAAACTAAGCTGTAAAGTAGTACTTGAATACTAATTTATGTCTATTCAAGACAGTGTGCTCAACAATGTGGTGAGTTTATTTTAAATTTGAACACACATAAAGAAGCTTTAAACCTAAAGAAGAATTCTAATGTTACTTTTAATGGAAGAAGAGTTTAATTTATCATTAACTTTGACATACTGCTCAAGACCCGGAAGAACAATTATTCACTTTTTGTTGGATTATGTAAAATATTTACAGTAATATTATAAAATTTTAAATTTTTTGTTGCTCATTATTTTGTTTAACTTATTTGACATTTATTTTTAAAAGAAAAATTTAACGGGCACCTAAAATGGCAAAATAGGCTTATGTGCCCCTCAAATTTACTCTTTGCCCCATTTGTAACCCTTAGCATTTTTTTTTAACTTTAAAAAACGCTTTTTTCTGTTTTTATGAAACAAATACTCTTGATTAATTTTTTTTTTGTAATTTGCAACTAGCACAGATAAATGGGCTTATGCCCCCCTTGTGTTTACCGTTTTGCCCCATTTATGACCCTTAGCAATTTATTCGGATTATAAAAAATCTCATTTTTATTTTTATAACACAAATACTCTTAAGTAAAAAAGGTTTTACTTAAATGAAACTCCGTTAAACCTAAACTCATCTCTGGTCCACAGTGATTGTATGTATATATATATATATATATATATACAATATTATGTTACTATGTATCATTTTTATTTTTTCGGGGATTTTTTAAAATAACAGCATTAATACTTTAGAAAATATATTATTTTTATCAATATTTTATTATGATTTAACATGAATTAAAATAGATTTTAATATCAATTAAAATTTTTTAAATATAATTTTTATATACATAACAATCTGCCAATATAAAAACTACAACTTTTTTCAGAATGGATTTCACGAAGACTATGTTACGTTTGAAATCAAAGCAAAAAAGGATCATCATTTTTTAGATTTGAAAAAAATTGAGTATGAATTATTATATTGTAATTGCAATTAAATTGATTTTTTATTTCAATCTTTTAATTTCTTTAAAATTTTTACCGAATTTCAGACAAACACATCAAAAATTTATTTGGCTTCGTTCAATTGAAAATGGTAAAGAAGTCACTGAAAAGGTAGATTTTTTATGTTTACTTAGTTCAGGGCCATTCGCATCTAAAATTTTCATATAATTTACTTTAAATGCTCAGAAAACAAGAGCAGCAAACAACAGAAACAACAGCAAGAGATATATAATTACCAGAAATATAGATGTTTTGTTTGTTTAAGAGTACAAATACTTATATTCTTTAAAGAGCTTTGTTAATAGATTTTTATAAAGCTTTGTTTGTTCAAGAGTACAAATGCATATATTCTATATTCTAGACTTTCACTCTAATTTAACGTGACTAAAGCAACAAAATACAAAAAAACATCATAGAATCGAAACACATAAAGTAGTTACTACTAGACAATATTATTAGATAATTATAAAAGTGTTGTTTCTATTTATCTCGATGTCTAGAGTAGTTTTTTAATTTAGTTTTGAGAGTATTACAAAAAGAGGTGTTTTTAAACTTATTAGTTTATTATAAGTAAATTCAAGCTCAAATTATTGTTTGTTATTCACAAAAAAAGACTCCAATAAATAGTTAGGCCCTAAATAATTTTTTTTTTAACCTTTTTAAAACTTTTAAAGCCATTACTGAGAGAATCTTAAAAAAATGCAAGTGACTATTTTCATGTTCAATCTTATCAAAGATGATCCAAGATCATTTGGTTTTAAGAGAACAACGAGACAAAGAGTAATCTTGTACAAATTAGAGAGTAAAGAGGCTCTATATTAATCGTAACACATTTAAGATTAGGTGTATCCTACAAAGCTTTGGGAATGACTCCTTTGTTTGGAGTTTATCTGCAAAAGCAAAAACAGTTAATGCCGAATCATTGTACAAACTATGTCTTTTAATTTTATTGATGAAGTAGCTCTGAGTATATTTACACATGATACCACTTTATGGTCCATAAGATATATTTGAATATTTTATTTTAGCAGCTTTTTAATGCTTGTTATCAGAAATATCATATAGAAAACTTTTATCTGATCGTTATTGTTTTATCAGTCATGGTTTTAACGTCATATTTTTAACAAGTTACCCTTTTAAATTTAATAAACAACTTACATTTATCCTTGAGTACTCCTGTTGTCTATCCATATTAAAGGACTACAGCTCTTTTATTAAGTCTTAAACACTGCGTGCCACAAGTTCTGTACTTACAGTAATCACAAAGCCTTTAACTTAGGCAAGTAAACTGCTGCAGTTCTTTTTTGCTTCTAGACAGTTTAGTATGAAAAATGAACTTCGGTATGAATAACAAATTAGGTATTTGAGAGAAGTTGACAGTTTGGCCTTTTGTAGGTAAAGATAATAAAGGATTAGTTTTTACAAACTGAATTTACAATAGCGTATTCTTAAAATATAAAGCTTTCCATTTATATATATATATATATATATATATATATATATATATATATATATATATATATATATATATATATATATATATATATATATATATATATATATATATATATATATATATATATATATATATATATATATATATATATATATGTATATATATATGTATATATATATATATATATATATATATATACATATATATATATATATATATATATATATATATATATATATATATATATATATATATATATATATATATATATATATATATATATATATATATATATATATATGTATATATATATATATATTTGTTTCTTTATGTACAGCATTATCCTGAAAACTGCTATTACGAAGGAAAAGTTCGTGGAATAGAGGACTCATATGCTTTTATTAGCACATGCAGTGGTGGATTAATGTATACAGTTTTATATGTTTGTTTGTAGATTTTCCGTACTTAATTAAACTATTAAAACTGTAGATATAAAATAAAAAATTAAATTACAATTTTAGTGGAACAATTGATGACGGTAAAACACGATATGACATAATACCACTGGTATGCATGCTTGTTATAATTGATAAGATTATAACAAATTTACTTTTTTTCTTGTATATTCACAATTTATATTAGGCAGAAAAAGGTATGCAAAAATTATTTTCTTTTATAAAGGATGATGGAATTCAGCATAATTACTACAATGTTGAGAGTCAAATGAGGAAAAAGTATAAAGAAATGAAAAATTCTGGGATTTACGGTAATTTAAAGTGAACTGTTTTTTTTTGTCATTTTTCCTACATTTGTTATTTAATTAAGTACAATATTTAAAAAAGAAAAATAAGATACAAATAAGAATAAGAATAAAATTAAAAACTAAAGAATACTAAAAATCAATAACAATGATTTGGTCTTGTCACAAAGAACACCTTAGATTTAAAACTAACTACTTTTAATATTAGGCTTATTTTAGTTGTTTATGGTGTTTGGGGTGCTTGTAATAATCTAGTGATTGAGTTTTTTTTTCGTAAGTAATAAGATATTGATTCCAGTTATTACATAGTTTTTAAATAAATATTTTTCTACTTTTAAATTTACAGAGTTAGATTTTTTATATAAGATTTTCTTTTTTTTGTGGATATTAATTCTATCATTTTTCACAGTTTGTACATTTCAATTTAGTTGTTCTACTTTATGGTTAAACATTTTCAATATTACATTCTTTCATAATTAAATAGGCCACTTCAGTAATGTTATTTTAATTTTTGTCATTTTTAATTTTCTTTTTTTCTTAGATTTTTATAAGGGTCTGTCAGAACTGAAATTAATGTTTACTTTAAAGTCTACGTAATTTTTTTTCCAGTTATATTTAATTCATTATTGTTGTTATGCATTTTAATTCATCAATTAATAAATACTTCTTTGTGTATCCTAAAAGTTCTTTTGTTTCTCCTTTATTTTTCAACTTTCTAAAATGTATGCTATATATATATTAAAATGTATACATATATGCTCACAGTAGTGTACACTTGGACTTTTGGTCGTTGGCCGAAAGGGCAAAGGAAAGTAACTAATAGGTTTTTTTGGTTGCCTACCAACTTTTTGAGTTGCCTGGTGCTATTTTTTATAAAAATTTTACATTCAGCAGAGTTCTTGCATATTCTAGTTATTTTTCATAATAGGGCTTAATGTTGACTTGAACTAATTTGCATAAATTAAATTAATATTGTAAGCTATTGATAACATTCTCTTAACTACTTCTAGATAAAGCACTTGCTGATATATATATATATATATATATATATATATATATATATATATATATATATATATATATATATATATATATATATATGTATATATATATATATATATATATATATATATATATATATATATATATATATATATATATATATATATATATATATATATATATATATATATATATATATATATATATATATATTTATATGCTATTATTCCATTGGATTGCTTATTTTATAAAAAAAGATAGGTGCTCTTTTTTACTGCAACGAAGTATTGACAACAACAACAACAACAACAACAAGCTATTTATTTTCCGTAAATCATTTTACAATAGTTTTGATAATAATGATAATAATAATAGTAGTAATAATAGCAAAAATATATAATAATAACATAAGATACAAAAAATAATTAAAAAATTATAGTAATAGTAATAACTAGCAAAAAGCAACCCGTAATACGGGTTTTGGTCGGTCTGCTACATAGTTAATTTATAGTGGCTGTTTTACAAAATTTAATGTTGCAAAACCTTAACTAATACCCTTTTAGAAAATCGCCTTCAGCTTGAAAAAATTAATCCATCTGTAAAATTAACATAAAAAGTATGAGGAGGTAAAATAATTTACCAACTACTACTAAACAATTACTACTTAACATTATTTAAGTAATTTACAAATGGCATAGGTCATAACAGTGAAAGGCAGAACCATTTTCATTGACCTTTCTAAGTTTAACACAATACGTTTTTAGTTACTGACACAAAATAATAACATTGGTCATGCTTTAAATTGACGAAAGTGTCAACTAAATCCTTGTAATAATTTTTATAATACGAACTATTAAGATTAAAATGAAGTTAACTTATATTATACAGGAGTTATCAATTTTTTGGTATCCCCTTGATTAATTATTCTTTAGAAAAGAAAATTGTTAACTTAAAAATGTTAAATGCACACATTTAAATAAATTTATAAAAAATAACAAAGTTTATTATAAATAACTACGCAACTGAGTACAAATACCTTTCAAACAAAAAAAATTAAATTTACGATCAAACATGGGTATAACAAATTTTTTAATGCATAAATGCATCATATGACAAACCTAAAATAAAAATTATAAGAGATAAGTAGACATAAAAATTTGTAAACCAAGCTGACCCGACCCGAGTCTTGTTAAGTCTATTCAACACAGACCATTTCTATATTATTTGTTTGGCCTCTTTACTTCATTAATTTTAAGTAAACGGTAATTTGCCACCATTTACTAAAAATTCCTATTGTAACTCGAAATTTAATTTTCCTAAATATTTTGACTCTAATAAAGAGGTTCCTTCCCTCTTTTTGCTTTAATGGTGGCCAGGTGAATAAAATAATAAAATGTAAAACAATGATCTACATATATAAGAATGTTTTCTTTCTTTCCTCAAAAGTGTTGCAAATACAGACTAAGCTAACTAATTAGTTAAATACATAAAAAAAAAAACTTAAGTAACTCGATATTAAATGCGCAAAACTACAATATTCTCTATGTTTTTAAAGGTTTTTAGTTACGACCCCCCCATTTACAAAGATCCCCTTAAAATACGTACAACAAATTATTAGGCATAAAATAAATAAAATATAAAATTAACTAATAGCATATATTTATATCTTTTTAACTAACAAAAATTTACAATAAAAAGAAATCAGGTTATTTTATTTTATAAATCTTATAAATGCGTCATAACGTAATTCTAAAATAAAAAAGTAATGAAATTATGATATCATAATTACAAAGAAAAAAAAAAAAAAAAAAACCACCACACAATTACCAAAAATCGATTTACCCATTTATAGTAACCTATTTTGAAATTGCAGTTAAAGATTTATCGAAAATGTAACTATAAAACCTGTTTCGAAGTACCAAAGCAATACTAAAAGTACCTAAGCAATACTAAAAAAAAAAATCAAACTAAGATATAAATTGTTGTTTTGGCTTTTATAATTTAAACATATATACAACTATAAACAAATATGACTTTATGTAACACGTATAAACACATTTTACAACTATTGAATGATAGATATTTACCAAAAACAATGAAAAAAAAATAAATAATGATAAAGTTACACATACAAAATGTGCTCACAACCTTTAACAATAAATTTTCGAAATGAAAATCTAAAGACTATAAATTAAGAACATTAAAAAATATAACAATATTTGTTACATTTTTTAACCTACTATACCTTGAATAAGATGTTTATCAATTTTGGAAAACAAACTATTAAATGCTATAGTTCTTGAAAATGCAGCATATAGTTGACCATGAGAGAAACACGGTTTTGAGATATTTCTTTTGTCTATATGTTTAATTTCGCGTTACGTAATATATAGACGATCCCTAAGAGAAAATACTTGAGACTAAAAAGATTTTATTTATTACAATATTTGAACAACCAAGGGACAATTTAAAGAATTATATCTTTAAATAGTAAATTATCAATCGCAGTATTAAAAAATACGCAAGAGCTTAGTAATTACAGAGTTTAATAAATTCTCAATACTAATATTATTTAAGTCTCATCTAAGAGAGAGAGGAAGTGTTTTAAAAACAGCATGTTAGAAAAAGTAAAAAAGTCATGCAATAAATAACAGTAACTGGTTTTATTATGCTTCCAATAAAAAAAATTATTTTTACCTTGACTAAAAATTAATTTCCAGCATTTCTTGATTAAGTTCCAGCTTCTCTCTAACTGTTGACAAATGATTAATATTGTAAATTTCACATCATATTAAATTTACAAAATTAAAACCATTATTCAACAGAAAGCAAAATAATCAAGTGATGAGAAAGACAACAAAAAAAAAATGAACACAATTATGTAAGATAACAAAAAAAAAAAAAAAAAAAAAACATTTAAAATTGAAGCTGTTATTATTTGTAACTATAAATAGTAAAATTCATACTTTGCTTTATTTTAAAGTGTCTAATGTAAAGTCAAATAATAGACATCAATACCGCTTGACACTGAATTCTGTCAAGTAAGTTTTCGATTCATCAAGCAAAATTCCTTATATTTCAACGACAATTAATTTTATTACGCCTAGATCTATTTCTTTCATATGACAACAATTTTAAATCACCTATAACCATTTACACTAATAACTTCTTCGAGCCTAATATTATACATCTGTTATCATTAAATATATATTACCAGTGATTATACTACTGTTACAACTGAATAAATGAACATTTTATATTTTTACAACTGAAAAATATAAAAAGAAATTTATTGACATTATTTTAATTTAGCAAAGAATTTAGAACACAATGCAAAGTTATTTGCATTGTGTTCTAAATTCTTTGCTAAATTAAGAAAGCCTTCAGGCACAATCTTAATGCACAAAAATAATAAATGCAGAATCATATCATAATATAATATAATAAGCAATGTCAGTCTAAAGTAATATATATATGTATGCATGTATATATATTCAAATTTTTTCTATTCTTAATTTTTTCTTTGAGATAATATTCATATAGATTCAGAGAAATATAAAATATTTTGATATATAGGCACATTTATGTATATAAACTAACCTGTCAAAAATTAGTCAGTTTTCCATGTTAAATACATAAATATAAAAAGAAGTTGACAATGCACAGTATCATTAAAATATAAAATTAAACAAAACATACTTACTCAAATCAGTAACAGTTCGACTGTCTAAATGTCTAAACTTACTCAAATCAGTAACAGTTCGACTGTCTAAATATTTTTATTATTAACCCTTCTATTTAAA